GTTAATATTTTGGAATAAAATTAGATTTGGCCCAAAATTTACTGTTTCCTTCAATTCTGGTTTTATGTAAATATGTTTCTGAATTTCAATTATTCCATGAGTACATTTATGTAATATGACTTTACTATTAGCATATTTTTATGCATTACAAACTGTAGCTGTAAATATATGTATTTTTTTAATTAATAAGCACTTTTGTATCTATGGTTTTTATTACTTAGATGAACTGTGTTTTTGAATTTTTGTTGTAGTCATGATAAAACTAGTAAAGCATCATCTCTTAGAGAAATAGATGTAATAAAACATCATAGTAAGACAAGCAATGAATTTCAGTGCATCATTTTTAAGTAGTTCAGTATAAGTTTCCTGTGTTGCTGAGTGAAATACCTAAGAAAATATAATTAATTGATAACTTACATCCATTTTTTAAAAAATTCCTTTCTGGATCATTTAAGATGGCAAGTTTAAAATTTTCTGTTTTATTACCTCCCCCACCAAAGAAAAACAAATTGCTGAATGAATTTGGATGAAAATTGGTATACATTTGGACTATAACCAAACCTAGAAGTGATTAGTTTTTTGAGGGTCAAAGGTCAAGGTCACAAAAAAACAAAAAAAATTTCTATCTGTTAACGTGAGGACAGATTTTTCTCTGTTTTTTCTCAATAACTCACTCAAAAATGACTAGATTTTAGTGAAATATGTAGAATATGTAGAATATTATTCCTCACTGTCCCACCAGAAATGGTCTGTGTTCTTTGATAACAATAGAAATATGGACACATTTTCATATTGTTATGACAGTGGGGTATTCTTCATATTGATGCATTTGCCACCACCCTCAGTCACCAGTTGCCTTTGTTTTGACCCTCAGTTCCCCCATCCTCAGGCTTTGGCTATAGATTTCTTCAGCCAGGATTAATTAAACAAGTTTCTTTATGTTTATCCTCCTATCCAATTATTTGATCAGGTAGTCTCTTTCATCAATACTACTTCATGCAAAGTCCTTCTGATTGCTTCTTACTGGCCTGCTCAACTGTGGTTTCCTCATTTACTACAGATGTTCCCTCCCGTCCCACTTCCATTATTCACTGACCTTCGTCATCAATCCCAGTCACTGGTTTTGTATCCTGCACTTCACATCCTCTAGCTTCCTGTCTGGCTTTTGTCCAGTCCCAGTTTCTCACGTTTGCATACTTCCTCATCGTAATTCCAGTTGCCTGCAGAATGGCACTCTGTTTACTCACGGGAGGGGTTGGTGTATGTAATACTAACAGTCTGCTTTCCCTGACCCTTGTACACTATACATACTGGTTTTCGAGTCCCACTCCATCCTCAACTGTACAAATGTGACTAGAAACAAACCAACTCCAGTAGGATATGAATCACAAGTAGTATAAAGAAAAAACGGACACTGGTGGGTCACTGAACCCACACAGAAAAAAAGGAAAGCCAACAGCCAGTTCATGGAATTATGAAGATGATGGCATTCAACGAGACATTGCTAGGTATCAACTCGAACCCCAACAGTACAGACGAGGTTCCATGTACCGTCCTCAGTATTACAAGGTGGAGAACCTCACATAAGATATCTGCAAACAGAAGTTATAATTTTATTACACTGAAAATATGTTTCCAACAGATACTTACTTCTCCTCACACAGTAGCTTTCCTCGATCTTCCACTGTCCTCTAATGCATTGGAATAGAAATTTTCTTGCTTACGATACTAATCTTTATACCCCCTAACTTCGAGCTGCTTATTTAGCATGCGACAACCCCCCACCAACAGGAATATCACACACTTTCATATAAGAGCTGGATTTCTCTGTACTACTTTACTTGAACTGTCCTTTCAATATTAGGCCCACAAGAAACAGAAAAAGGCTGGGAGCTAATAAAAGAAAGACCTCAAAAAATAATGTATCAGGTGTAAATAATCAACATATGAATTATCATCTCGGAAGTTAACATTTTTCCTCATATGAAAATGTATTTTTGATAGATACTCACCTCCCACGCAACCTCCCCACTTCTGGTGCACCTACCTTTTTTGCCTCATCTGAGAATGAATTTGTCACTAGTACAAGTGCATAGGGGGAGGTTATTGTGCACTGAAATTGTGTACCCCTCCTATTGGTGGAGGGATATTGTCACATGATGATGTCATCATGCACCAGAGCAGTTCATGATAAACTTGAATTTAGGTAGGAATTAGCTCAAGGCTAGTGGCAAATCTCATGAGCAGATGTGCAAGGAAAATAGTATTTCTGTGTGTAGAGGTATCTATCAAAAATACATTTTCAGATTAGGTAAATATTAAAATTCAAACTACATTGTTGTTTATAAATATCATATATTTGTAACTGAAAAACCAAATCAATGTTTGAAAGTATAAATTACAAAATTTGATATTAATTATTAGCAAATTCAGACTAGCAAGAAAAGTTTTAGCAAATTTGATCAGGACCTGAATTGCATTTTTTGAACTACTTTCTGTGGGTCATGAGATCCTGCATACTGTTTGGTGGGTGGCTGTTTACAGCCCTTGTGCAATTTTCAAACATGAAGGCCTAACTTATGCTCTTCCTTCATAAAAAAAAATAAAATACAACTTTATAGACTTTTTGTATTAAGTTCATGCAACTTCATGTAAATCTCTGATTATAGTTATTTCTCTACATGAGTCATTGCACAAAACACCATAATGAACTAGCTGAGGCTTCAGACTTGGTGTATCTGTTGTTAGAATATCAGTCTGAAATCACTAACGCGAATTGGGGCTCCTGAATTCAAGCCCAGGTCCTAGGATGTGACTTTTTTCTCCCAGTTTTCTTAAGTAAAGTACATATGTAGGATTAAGTAATTAGACAAAAATAGTGTAGTATCTAAAGTGGACATTTTACTGTGTGGCTTATTATATATATATATATATCTATAGAAATCAAGCTGATAGTGAGTGTGAACCAATCTTTGACATCAACACTGGAAAGCCCCCGAAAAACAACAATTGTTTTTTTATTACCAAACAACAAGGAACTGAAAATGATGGTATTTTATCATCACTTATGTCTCAGCATTTTCTACCAAAGGTTAGGATTCATTTCATAATTTTTAATTTTCTGATTTTGATTTCAGTTACACATAATTTATCAATTTTGCTTTGTTCCTGAAATATCCCTTGTTTGAACAATAGCACACTTACAACATTTTACTTTACAATAGTCATGGTGTTTTTTTTTCTTTGTACAGTGACAAATAGTTTCAAGTTTCCTATCTTAACAGTCTTGGAGAAACCAGAGTTTAACCCACTTGATTTTCTAATTTCCCTTTTTTTTTGTATCTGCCATTAGGTTGCTCATTTCTGTGATGGAACAGGAAAATACCAACATAATGTTGAAGCCCCCACTAAGCACAATGCTCTCTGTCGGGAAGAGAGCACATGGAGTGTGATCAAACAAAATCCAGATTTTATTGATGGAAAGTGAGTAAAAAGGTGTTAATCATCAACAGGTCATCCACGCATTAATTCTGTTTTATGGTTCCAAGTAGAGTCATTTATGAAAGTTTTGAAAATTTCTTTCTTAACCCTTTCACAATGGGCGGGTCTAACTGCGCATGTCACGGTCTTTTAGCGAGTTATTTTCAAAATTTAATTAAACTACTTTTTGTTTATGTTATATCAATTAGTATAG